ATAACCAAACGACTTTTTTACTGTGGTAGAGCCACGAAGCAGCTCCGCTCTGTTGCACGAATGGGCAGCCTCCTCCATCGAAATAACACAGCCTCACATAAGACCGGCGATGTGAAAGTATTATTTACATACTTCCGCGTTTCCTCTGATGAACGAGGTAACCAAATCCCACTTAGCTTGGCAACGCCGCTCAAATATAACTCCTCTGGTATGTGCAACACCCATTGATGTATGCACCCCATGCGAACGTTAATGTCAGGTGAATCGTCTGCTCTTTCGTCACATCATAACAAAAAACCTGCGATATGCGAGTCGTTTCCGTAGTAGGGGACTCTACTGCCGGCTGGAAAATTTTTCGCTGCAAAATGCTACCGTCCGCCTTGTTTTCGCATGCGAGCTCGCTTCGGCCAATTACTCCCCCACTACGGTGTCGCAGTCATTCATTTGCGCGTACACCGCGGGTCCACTCAATGTCCTTCATTACCAACGCGCTCCAATCGGCCGGTTGGTCGTTTCGTGTTCATCGACACTGTGCATTTCGCCTTGTTTTTATAAAATTGCGACTTGCGCAAGTCATTTCTTTTAGAATGGACATAAACATCGCTGATGTAAATGATGCGGAGAAGTAATAATGAGAAACAATATCGTTTGGTACAGAGTTTTTCGACTATGTTCATTCATCTTGACTCGATGGCGCAGTTGCTGAGTGTCCCGGCACCACTTACACACTCGTAGGGTCGATTCCCATACAAATAATTGTTCCGAACTGGGTGTATATTCCCAAGAAGAGTTGAAATAACGTCAGTTAGCGACCGGTCGTTGAGACCTATCTAATATATACATGACTCATTGCCCGGGCGCTCGCTTTTAATTCAACATATTCAGCAACCTCTGAGTTCGATCCCCGATGCCAGCACCAATGAAATTTAAGTACTGAATTATCACGTGCTCGGCGGTTAAGGATAACACCGTGAGGACACCTGCATATTTTCGAAATAATAACAAAAATAATATTTCGAAGATATGTGAAGTCCGCCAATCCGCAGTGTGGTTGCGTGTTGTACTATACCCTAACACCGTCTATACAGAGGAGGCCCAGTAGTGGGACATATACAGGCTGTTACTTTACATAACCATTATAAGAGAGCATGCGCGTCATACGTAGCTACTATAAAAGCTTTATACACTTCAGGAATTATGCGCAGAAGGCAAAAGCACTCCAGTGTCACCTAATATGCGTCATTAAGTAACATGTGCACACAACTGGCTACGGTGAAGGGCGTCTTGTCATATGCTAAGCAAGTAGGCGAGGGTTTTCACTTTGACAAATTCTCTTCAAACAGCCTTATTATACGTTTTTACTTACACATTTACGTAAAAATCCATAAGCATATGTGATGTGACATGAATTGCTTAGAAAATTTCATTACAAAATATGTATGTAGTTATCTTGATAAGCAAGATATGTTTGAAATATAAATTTAATAACGTTGCTACATTTACCAGTTTCACTTAAATACAATACAAATTTCTGACTTAATTGACTATAATATATAGCCATACATGATATTGGCCAATTGCATTCTGAATTTGAGTAACTTACAAATGATGAAACTGAAATTTACAAATCCTGCAGTATCAGTGCACGTATTTGAAAAAATTGACTCTAAATATGCACTAAATTTATGCTCCTTCTCTATAATTTTAGTATTGACATGCCATAAGAGAATAGAGAATAATAATAACATAAAATTATCAAACCGTGCCGTGGAGTACGATAAGAGTTGCTTTTGTACACAGTAAGAAAGCACCCGTCCCCTCGACGTTGAGAAAACGCAAATTTTTAACACAATTTCGCCCCGTTGTCAAAACGCAAGCAACCTTTTGTTCAGCGCCTGCGAATTGTTTCACCCAAAATATTACGAGAAAGAAAAACAGAATGAACATAACGGCATCCATTTGATTCTTTAAGCAATATTTTTCAGCTAAAATTGATTCTTTAGTTTAATTACAATATGTTATTCATTCTTTAAGTAAATTGATGCTGTTCGTCAAATTATGCTTACTGATCTCTACCAAGCCAAACAACAGCTTTTTTCCATATATAACAAAATAGGAATAATTAAAAAAACTAAAAACTTAATCACAACTCGTTACTACGCGTGTGAACGCTATAAACATTGGAAATCATTCGGAACCCGATCGACGGACGAATATGACATATCGTTAAATTATTTCCAACATAAATCTGTGGAGGTAGGGCAGGGGGATATGGGACAGGGAACGAGGGAGGTAGGGGGGGGGGGGGGGGGTTGTATGTAGGGTTGTGCCATTGCATGGGTTGCATTATCGGGGTCCCCTCCGCGCGCTGCCCGTCCGGTACATTCATTACAAAAAGCGACACGTCGCGACGCGGGCAACGGTTTAATAATTCCTCTCGTTCATCCCCTACGGCCGCGGCAGACAATGCCTAACGGTATCAATCAACATCAAACGGCGCCGCGCTAGTCTGTGCGTGCGACTTTAGGGTTGACGGTGGGAGCTCTCAATGCCCGTCTCCTCGCCACGGAAAAACAATCTCGATGAGTGGAAAACTAACTCGGTAGTTTCTTAACCCGATGGCGAATTTTTATGAAATGGGCGGAAATAGATTTCGCTTTGAGCAATTTAATTCTAATACAATATACTAAAATTCTCTCTTGATAACGATTATCTCTTTTATTTACTATCGCCATTAGTTAATTTGTAAAGGTCAGACGTAACTGCAATTGTGCTAAAGCTTTTTACGGTGGTAGAGCGATGCAGCAGCCTCGGCTGTTGCAAGAATGGGCAGGCTCGTTCGGGTAAGTACCACGACCTCACAGAAGACCGGTGTAAAGTGGAAGTATAATACTTTCGCGTTTCGTCTGGTGAGTGAGGTGGCCGGAGCCCAATTTTCAAAAGGTTGTCAACACATCTGCAACCCTTGAGTGTAACAGATGTTCATGGGCGGCGGTATTCGCTTAACATCAGGTGAACCGTCTGCTCGTTTGGCAATTATGTTGGAATGGTGTTCAATACCTTAAAAAAATATTATATCAATACTAAACGGGCCGCGGAGAGTAAGAGGTTAGGCAGACTATAGAAAATGAAGTAAATAAATAAATATTATGAAGGCATATTTTCTTTACACAATTTTATCTAGTCCCAAACTATGCAGAGCTTGTACTATGGATAACTCTTACTGGTAAACACATTATTTTTTATAAATATATACATTTCATAGACATAAAAACACATAAACACTAAAAATACTATGTTCATCAAACAATATATTTTCCAAGGAGTGGGGATCAAACCTACAGCCTCTGGCGCAAGAGACAAAGAAGCTTTGATTTACTCCCACCATCCCTAAATCCATCTCTCGCGCGGTCTGTCACTTTCAATTCTCTGTATCGTGCACGTCCTACTACTTCATATATACGGTCCGTCGATAACCGATGCGCCGCGGGCCATGTGCCCTTCTGAATTCGTCTATCGCTTTGATCTGCTCTCCGCTCGATAGAAGTATTATCTCCGTGCCAACAAACGTATCAGATTTTATACGTACAAACGACCACCCCTCCTCGTGTTTAAAATCGAACGTTTCGAGAGGTATTACGTGACGTTACAAATCAATGGGAAAACATTTAATCTTTATATATATATATAATTCTACTGTACGTGGGTATGTCATCCTAATGATTTTAATGATTTTTTTTTGTGTCCTCAGTCGAGTAGAGAATTGTTTAGAAGATGCACAATTTGGTCCACTTTAATTTTTTTTTATTTCTTACTTGTCGAATTTAAGTCGTGTGTACAGGACAACGTCTGTTCAGTCCGCTAGTAGAAGAATATAGAATGTTTTGCTTTGAATGGAAAAAATATCACAATAAAAGTTTAAATTTCAAGTGAGGTCATATTAATAAGTATTTCACGATTGAATTTTGCATTAAATGGTAAGTTGGGAGATAATTGAAGCTTCAAAGCGTATAAGCCTTTCCAAGCAAAGGTACTACTGGCACCTATCGCAAGATCGTATTGAAAAAAGCCATTTAATTCAAGTAAATAAAGCAGCTTGCTATAATATAAAATGATCAAGGCCAACGTAAGCTATACATTTTTGTGTAATTCTTTTATAAGGGGCTTATAAAATAACTGAATGTCTTCAGAAAATTTATCTTGACATAATTCGTGATAAATATTAAACGTCTCAATACTATAAATAGTAAGAGGTCTTTTGAATGTGGGGTCACCATAGTCCGTTTGTCAACAACTTGACATATTTCCGAAGCCTTCTTATAAAAATATTTTCGTCAGTACACGATACCCTCGTTAATATCAGTGTGTTACGTTCAGTCTGATCCAAATCGACGTCCGACGACGTCTTTATAACTTTTTATAACTCATCTAACACAATCATAAATTAATTCCGAGGAAATCTCATATTCAATATTCAAACAAATCACTCCTTTATTCGCTGAATAAACATTATAAAATCGATCAGGTTTTGCGTTAATAAAGCCTTTAAGCCGATACATTATAAAGAGTGCTCCATTTTCCCGCTACGGATGCGTTTAGTTTTATGGCCGTGTGAACGAAACTTTACCGGATGTCGGCAGGTAGTCTTGTGAGCAGAAGGTATTCCGACTTAATTAAATATATACCTATCAATATCTTAATGAAATTCAATCTCATTTCCTTCCAGAAACATTACAGCTCTAATGAGTTAGATAAATCAGCGAACAGTTATCAGTTAGACGGCTGATTTTCTAAAACCACAAAGGAAAAAAATCCGGTTTCGTTAAAGAAGAAAATATTTTAATAAATTACGCGCAGTTCGCACCCCGGTAAGACTTAAACATTCCGCGCAGAAGCAGAGGATATTATGAAGAAAACTAAAATGCGAATCCCGAGAATTAACAGCTTATTTGTCAAATGAAATAAAAAAAAAAGTGTTGTTTCCGGTAACGAGCTTATTAATATAACACGATGGGAAACATGAAACTTTCCAAAGCAATCCGTTCAAAAGTCACACATCGGTTGGTGCTGGCTGCTCTCCCTGTGGTTACTGTGGAGTCGAGCGAGACAATAATATCAGCACTCACCGAATCTGGATCGTGCGCGTTGGGGGTGGACGGTTGAGGTGGCCTCGGCGGTGGCGGGTAGCCCTGCGAACAATGACGTCATTGATCATTCCATGTGTACCATTACCCACCCACGACCGAACTCCATTTTATATAAAGAATTCTAACCATATTTACTAAATCTAATTTCATTTAATTTTCATTCAAATCTAAAGTTCGTCCAAGTAATTTCGCAGTACACAGTCGAAGTATGGATGATGCATCCATACTTCGACGTTCGTATTTGTGAGCACAATTTTGTGATATCAAAGTTGTATTTATATTTTTAGTATTACTGTGCGATCGTTCCCATTTCCGAGGTCCGATTGCTCCACTTCTGAACCCACGGTGGCAACTTGACTCGAGCGTAATATAAGTAATTTTACGTAGCCTATGCAAACGAATGGTTGATTGTCAAACAATATCCATGTGCAACAGTGGACTCTAACAGGCTGAAATGATGATGATGATGCAAACAAACCTTCGCATTTACAATTGGCCGTTTCGGGTGAATGGAAACGACCAGTTCCTAAGTATTCAATCATTTAATGCAATGTAATAATTTTGTGTATCAAACTAAGACATGACATACAAGATCCAAGTCGTAAGCATTCCCACGCAACTAGTGTCAAGTCCTAGTCCCTAAAGATGCTTTTTAATAAACGAAAATTAATTTTTCGAGACATACCGAAAGCTCACAAGGCAACGCCGAAAATAAATATACATAAATAAAACTTGCCCAAGTATTATTCAACGATGTGTAAAATTCGCTCGATTACAAAATGACTAAAATAATCCCAACTAACCATAAGCGAAAAATATCACCTCGTCTGAATCAGAATCAAAAAGTCAAAATTTCTTTATTCAATATAGGCTCATTTTAAGCTATTTAATTATTGTTAAGTTCGTAAGACGCACGCGCAATATATCTCCGTAACCGAGAAGTTGGGCCCCTGTACGCGGTCGGCGGGAAAATTAATTAAGAGTGACGTCGGCCGCGGCGCGCCTCGACTATTTCTTATTTAACGATGGCTGAGGAAGAACAAAGTGGCATACTTTGACGGCTCCTTCCCGTAGGGAGGGAATCTATAACCTGCGTGGGGCTGCACTATGCGAGTCAAAACTTCGACATTCTCAGACACTGGGTGCACTCGAGACCGAAATTTGAAACATGCTCAGATAATTATGCTGAGACGTGATCGCATTCTTTATCGGAGCGGTACATTAAGTAGATCGCGGGCTTAAGCGATATTGAAGGATTCATTATTATTAGGCGGAGATGAAAATAGCACATGCAAAACAACGAAGATTTGTTTAGACGGCCGCTAACGCCATGTGCAAGTGATTTGCGTACAAATTGATTAACATTATCACCACTAGAATAACGATGAGTCACATCATTATTAACAACCATTGAACTGTGTAGTGGCAAATTCACATTGGCGCTAATAATATGAATTGCAGCTAAAAATAGCGTACGTGTTTAGAATTGAATAAGAAACATCCGTCTTGAGATTATTTCCGCAAAAAAAAAAGCAATCTTTAACACGCCGCAAGTATTTAATAATTCCCAACTCCGACGTAATTTCAAAGGAGCAGCGATGGAAATAAGTTGACCGGCTGATGCTGCAAGTTGCCGGCGACTCGGCAACACTCCGCCCGCTCTGAAATCCCTCTCCCGACACTAAAACGCTAAGCGTTCAACTTCACAAAGCCGGTACGGGCGGACACTTCGCCGTTTCGTAATATTTTCACTCGTTGCCGACGTCGTAAAACGAGAACTGAATGTTTACCGTCAACTGAGAAGTGCAACGGGAAATATCAATTGGAAGGTTTACGGGGTTATTTTTCGTTAACGACATTGCGGATTTTCTTTTATTTCTATTCGAAATTATCCACATTTTTAATTATTTATTTATGCTTTATAGCTAACCCTAAGAAAAAAAAAGATAACAAAGGGCCGGACTTAATGCCCAAAGGCATTCTCTACCAGTCAACCCAGAATGTAGTGAAAGTTTATGGTAGGTGCAGCAAGGGATGTAAAAATTACAAAATATTAATATAAAGAAAATGAATAAAGTTATAACACATAGTTATAAATATAAGGAATATAGAAAAAGTAACATTTTGGATTATACTAAAGTATAGATAAAAATCAAATGAAATCACATTATACCAAATGAAATCCTTTTTCAATATTTACACAAACAGTAAAGGAATAAATCTTTATATTATGCAGATTTAACGCCATCCAATTCTCCTCTTGTCTTGTTTAAGTTGTGTTGATTATTAAAGCTTCAAAACAGTATCGGATATAATTTAAACATAGACTATATGAGAGTGTTATTTCAAGTTTGATAAGATTCACATCGGCCTATATGGCTTGACATTAGATAAACAAACTCACAAACTCAACACACGTAGGGACGCCGCAAAGAAAACAAGCTCGTAATTTACAACTGGGAGACCAGCGAAATATTAATTTCGCTCGGTTACGAGGCAACCCTACGGGCGACTGCTACGTTACCGAGAGATGTTCGGTTTTTATTAAATATTCGACGGTTCGGGTCGATGCCCTCCCCTCGTAAAACAAACGTTTACGTGTTTATTTGAAAATTTCACTAGAAAGACTCGCAAACTCTCGTTGGGATTATATTCAAATGCATATAAAGTCAAACAGCTGCTGACATAGTAAAACGACACACATGAATCAATACCCTAAAACATCTATTGCATATGTTGTACTATTCAAAGAGAGAACTCTATTAAAATTGTTTTTTTTTGAGGGTTCCGTACCCTAAGCGTAAAACGGGACCCTATTACTAAGACTCCGCTGTTTGTCACGAGGCTGTATCTCATGAACCGTGACAGTTTTGACAGTTGAAATTTTCACAGATGATGAATTTGAGTTGCCTTATAACAACAAATACTAAATAACAGAATGAAATAATATGTAAGTGGGAGCTCTCCCATACAACAGACATGATTTTTTTTGCCATTTTATAGGTAATGGTACGGAACCATTCGTGCGCGAGTCCGACTCGCACTTGGCCGGTTTTTTCCATCGTAACAGGTATAGTGGACGAAGAAATTCTTGGCGCTTGTCGGAAGGCAACAGTCGCCGGTAGGTAACGAATGATAATGGCGATAGTTTTGAAACGGGAAACTGACGACTCCCGCGGGATAAATGAATTTGGACTGTTTTTTTTTCTGCGTCCAAGGGTGTAGATTACGGGACGGCAGTTTCGAGGCTCGTTTATACAAAATCGCCGCAAATTTTTCTTTGAATTAAATTCGTCCAGTCACACTCATTTTTTACGACTACACTCAAGAAAGAGATTGGTTGAATTCCAGTTGGCCACTAATCATGTCCGATCGTAAATGCAAGCGCTTACAATCAAACGCACCTTTAGAATTATAGTGACCTATTTTAAAAGAAATCTTTTTGGAAAACGTAAAATAAAGATTTTAAAGGGGAGTGAAAAAAAAACGAAGTATAGGTTATGCAGCTTTCTAAAATCAGACCTTGTTTTAATAAGAGTCGAAAAAGGTAGTTGTTTTAGGTGGCTCCTGACAGAAAGTCAAAATCATGATTTTCTTATTTGTGACCTTTTAAGTTTAAATGTGTAATTGTTATTTCAGACTGAAAATAATAAAATTTTAATATTTTCAGCTGGTTATGAGCAGTGTTTCGACGTGCATTATTAATGGTGTGCTAACAAATAAAAAAATATAAAATTTTGGACCAAAATATCTATCTTATTGCGCAATTGTTATTTCTTATCACGGATGCGAGGCAAGCGCTTTCTCAAGTTCCCGGTACCGCTCCGTGGAAGCGACTTCTATATACGAAACCGGACCATGGATAAGTTTCAATTGTCCCATTTTTCGTCTCCCATATACACTAGAATAACTAACTCTTTATATAATACATTTGATATTATTATTAGTTCACAAAAATAACATTAAAATTTTTGTTAATGATTGTAAGTAACATAGCACAGAAAAAAATTCATGCAAAAAATCATCAAACTATATTGTTATCCTTTTCCCGAATGATAATCTCCCAATACTAATCATATAACAACGAGTTTTTCGATTTTATTAGATCTGTCAGATCAGATCAGTTTCTTTACTAGTACCTTATTTGCAGCGTTCGCTAACGAATAACAATTAAACAGCAATTTATCAGCAACTACCCCCGTGTTGTAATGTAAAATTCACTAAATTAGAGATCGGGGCACACGTAACTAACACCAGGCGATCGGGGTCGTATGACAGAACTCGTAACTACACTAAGATCTAGTCAGCCGGTAAGCTATCCCCGCCAAACTCAATGGCACAGTTTCGCGTAGATTGAAAACTGGATATGTGTTTGGGGGGAAGAGGAAGGGGGGTTTAAAGTTCGGCTTCGCTATGTGGGCATCCGCGCCTAAGAGTTCTCCTCCGCCGTAAAGTTGCGAGAGACCGGAACCCCAGTGCAGTTTGTTAGGGACGCAGACCGCCGACCTGCTAGGACCCTACACCCCCTTATCGTGTTAAAAACTCGGCACGCGGAGGATATTACCGCTTCAGGTAATGGAGAATACTGCTGGAAGTACCGTTATCAGTCACCGAATGGTAACGCAATATGTTAATAAGTATTTATCAATCAATGCATCATCAGACATCTCATTTTGAGGAATAACATTAAACGGTCTACTTCGCTATCTTTCATTTCAACAAATTGTCAATAGATAGTATAGTCATACATTCTTTAAAATAAACTTTTGAAAATTTTTTGTACGGTTCGTCAATAGCTTGATTCATTAAATTTCTGATGAAGAATTAAGGAGGCTATGACATACCGACGAAAAACACCCTTGATAAATAAAATGTAGAAATTTGTCGACGTTCACCATAAGCCACGTGTTTGAAAAATGTAGCAAACGTTTAAAATTTTTGTAGTGATTTTATCCGAAAGACAACTTTTGCAATTTAGCAATTCGCTACAAATCTAAAATGTATTACCGATGCTTAGATGCCGAGTAAGAATTCACCATCAA